ATAAGTGGGGCGACCTGGCCCACAAGTTCTTGGAGCACTTCGCGTCCAGCCGGAGACAAAAGCTCCCCTTCTCGCATTTGCTCAATGTGAAGATCCGGAAGGGGGAACAGCTCCGGGAGTTCATTAATAGGTGGGAGAAGGAGGCTAGGGATGTCCAAGGGGCGGACGACCAAGCCCTGATCGCCATGCTCCAAGCTGCACTCCCCCAAGGGGATGTGCGTAAGGAGCTGCGACGGAATCCTCTCTCGACCTATCAAGAGATGTTGGCCAGGGCGAAGTACCTGGCGCTGGAAGAGGAAGATGATGAGCCACCAGTCCGGAAGGAGAAGAAAAGCGGGCCACCGGTGGCAGAAGGAAAGAAGAGGAAGGAATATGGTAAGGGGCCGAACCCCACCGGGTATCATGCGAACAGGCATCCCGTTCACGCGGTACAGTCGTTGCCGGCCCCTCCTCATGGTCGGGAAAGCTATGGTGTGCAAGATGCACCCAAATACTGCGATTACCACCATAACAGCACCCATAACACGTCGGAGTGCGTTACGCTGAAGAAGGAGATGGATCAGCTGATCGCTAGAGGGCCACCTCCTCGGCCAGAGCGACCGTCCACAAGTAACCGGACCTGGAGGAGGCCGCCAGCCCCCACGGCAGCGATCACAGCAGGAGAGGGGCAAGAAGATGGACGGCGGCACCTAGGGCGTGGGTTGAAGGGCATTTTAGGGTGGGCATTATAATTTAACTCCTAAAAAAAAGAAAAAAAACATACCACTCATATCTAGGGAAAACACATTTGTTTAGGCCCTAGATAGAACAAACTTTACAAATAGATTCGATTCAAAGATATAATAGTTTTGAGCATGAACATCAATGGCATGTATTAAGAGATCCATAATCTCGATTCTAATTCATTGCCTGGTTCAAATATTGAATGTTTAATATAATGTAAGCATTTGGAAAACTCAAAAAGTACGGCACTTACTTCGATGTAACTCTCAGCAAATCCACCTTTCTCCTAAAAGAAAAAAAGTATATTTATTGATACTGAAATAATTTTAACAACTAAAGATTGAAGATTTATTTATGAAAAATAGTTGGGACGAATCAAATGCAAGAATAAGGAATATGAGAGGAGTAACTGAGAATAAAATACTTACATTGTGATTATGAAGCACCAACTTTAATTTATAGAAATTTCGAACATAAAAAATGTAGGGGAATATAGCTGAAAAGATGAGACAACTTATTTAATGAGAACATTTAACCAAAATAGAGCATCATACATCAAATCATGTTCAAATCTGAAATTGATAATAAGATGTTTAACTGTTTGTTACTAAAGAAGGTGATTGACAATAAATACACCGAATGATCCGGTTTACAGAGCGGATCGTAAGAACAAAATTAAGAACAAGAATTCGAGAATTGGATGTGTATTACTAGCTTGATTTAGCTTGAGTTCTCCCCTTTCGGGTCCCCTCTATTTATACATGAGCTCTAAACAATTAAGGTAATGCATAACCGATGGAGTCTATCCCGCCAAGGGCGCGATGCCCTTTTCCCGGCTCCGTAACGGCCAATCAGCTCCGTCTCCTTCTCCGGATTGACTCTGCCAGCTGCGCTTGGCCTGAGGTTAACTAGGCCCAGCTCCTTGGGCCGGCCCAGCTTGAGTATTTCACAGGTGTTTGACCCGAAGCTGTTTAAATGGTTCATTTGGGCCGTCCTCTGGATATCAGCCCATCATAAGCCCCCCAACTCCTCAGTCCTCAGCTGGGCCAAACGGAGGAGTGGGGAGTTTGCAAAGTCCACGTGGACGCTCCAGCGGGGATCCGGGCCGTTCCTTGGATTCCGCACGACACTTGGGCACGATCTCCACAAATAAGTAATCATGGTCTGCCGATTCGCCTTCCTGTTGTCAGTTAAAAACCGCCGCTGGACGCCATCTCTTTCTTTCGCCTTCTTCACTACCATTCGTCTGCAACTCCGCTGCTCACCCGACTCGTTCTTCTTCCTGTCCAAGTCAGTTCCTTCTCTCGCCGCCATGATTGTCTCAGATTCCGATTCGGCTACCCCATCGTCCAATTCTCGCCAAGCCGGTCAATCGGCCTCTGATCGTAACCCTGGCCACACTCCATCACCCCGGCCGTCGCCGTCGGCCGTGCCTGGCCACAAACGGCGTCGATTGAGGAAGCAATACCCTTCCTCAACTCCGGTAGATGAGGGCTCAAGGGTTGAATTGGACGAAAACATCATGGCGTTGTGCCATTGTCAAATTACTAACCGGGGGTTCGCCGATGCCACTGACATGGTTGGACCCTCCATCGAGGTCATGAGACCCACCAGTACTCAAACTGCTCTAGACGCACCGTCGGGGTTCTTCACGGTCCATCTGGCGTCTTTGAAGAAGGGGCTGCGCTTCCCACTCCACCCGTTGTTGATCGAATTCCTCAACGTGGTGGACCTTCTCCCGTGCCAACTGGTCCCCAACTCTCACCGGTACATCGCCGGTTACCTGGTCCGGTGCAAAGAT